TAAATCAAACAACAACTGTTTTTTAAAATATTTTATTTCTATGTGGTACTGAGGATCGAACCCAGTATCTCATGCATGCTAGGTGAGCACTCTATTACTGAGCCACAACCCCAGCCCAAATATTTTTTTTTTGGTACTGGAGATTGAACCCAGGGCCTTGTGCATGCAAGGCAAGCACTCTACCAACTGAGCTATGTTCCCAGCCCCCTTCCTTTTTTTTTTTTTTTTTTTTTTAAGACAGGGTCTCATTGAGTCTGTGTCAGCCTCCCAAGATGCTGGGATTACAGGCGAGTGCCACCACACCTGGCTTATTTTTTACTTTGAGACAGTGTCTAAGTTGCTTAGGGCTTCACTAGTTGGCTGGCCTCAAACTAGTGATCTTCCTGATTCAACCTCCTGAGCCACTGGGATTATAGGAACGTGCCACTACATCCAGCTTGATTCTTTTTTTAGTAGTTTTTTATAATTATTATTTTTTTTATATCTCAACTGATTATGTAAAAGAACGAATCTAATAGAAGAGCTGTGCTGATTTTACAGATTGTTCTTTAATGGTATGGCATGAAACAAAATTGGGTGGTCTTAAATTAACTGATGCACCTACTGACCTCTAATACCCCTGCTAAATTGTTCAGGCTGGCCTCAAATTTATGATCCCCTTGCCTCACCTTCCAAAGTAATTGGGATTATAAGGATGAGCCACCTCACCTGGTGTGACTACAGTTTTAAATAGGTGGCCAGAGGAGGCCTCATTGAAAAGTTACATCTGAAAAAGGGCCTGAAGGGGGGCTGGGGATGTTGCTCAAGCGGTAGCGCGCTCGCCTGGCATGCGTGCAGCCCGGGTTGGATCCTCAGCACCACATACCAACAAAGATGTTGTGTCCGCCGAGAACTAAAAAATAAATATTAAAAATTCTCTCTCTACCTCTCTCTCTCTCACTCTCTCTTTAAAAAAAAAAAAAAAAGGCCGAAGGAGCCGGGCACAGGGCACAGGCCTGTTATCCCAGCAGCTGGGTAGGCTGAAGCAGGAGGATGGTGAGTTCAAAGCCACACTCAGCAATGGCCAGGCACTAAGCAACTCAGTGAGACTTTGTCTCTAAATAAAATACAAAATAGGGGATGTGGCTCAGTGGCCGAGTGCCCCTGAGTTCAATCCCCAGTATGGAAAAAAAAAAAAGGGGGGGCCTGAAGGAAGTAAGGGAAGGAAGACTACTCAGGTTGAAAATTTTTCTTGGCATTAAAATAAATAAATAAGGCAAAGTCCCATAACAAATAAGATAATTACACACAAAAGGACAAGTGTACAAAAGAGAAAGGGGAAGCCATGTCACTTGATGTACAAGTCTAAGAACTCTGAAAACAAAACAAAACAAAAGGTTAAAGCTGGTGAAATCCTTGCAGTGGAAAGACAGAAGCAGAACACCAAATGTTTGTATGTCTCCAGAGCAGAAAAGAAAGGAATAGATGAGACCACAGACCTCACAGGCCATGGTGAGGACTTGGGTTTTAATTAAGGAAACAGAGGCATTTTAAGGTTGTGAGCAGAGGAGTGATATTATTATTATTATTATTATTAATTTTATTGTGATGTTGGGAATCAAGCCCAGGGCCTCATGAATGCCAGGCAAGTACTTTACCCCTGAACCATATTCCCAGTCTACATTATTTATAGTTTAAAAGATCTCTCTGGCACTCTATTGAGAATAGACTGTAGAGAGGTGAGGGTAAAGGAGACCACTGGCAAAGCTACTTCAATAATCTAGGCAAGAAATGAGGTGAAGCAGGAGTAGTAGGAGCAGCAAATGAGAAGGAAACAGTGTCTATGTATTTTGGAGTAGAACCAAGCATTGGACATGAATTGTGATGAAAAGAGAAGAACCAAGAGCAACCCCAAGGCTTTTGAAAGATAGAGTTGCCATTTGCAGCAAAAAGAAATCATTGTATGGTCAGGTGTGGTGGCACAGGCCTGTAATTCCAGAGACTCAGGCTGAGATAGGAGGATCATGAGTTCAAAGCCAGCCTCAGCAAAGGCGAGGCAATAAACAGTGAGACCCTGTCTCTAATATAAAATACAAAATAGGGCTGGGGATGTGGCTCAGTAGTTAAGTGCCCTGATTTCAATCCTCAGTACCAAAAAAAAAAAAAAAAGAAAGAAAGAAAGAAAAAAGAAAAAAAAGAAAAGAAAAAAGAAAGAAAGAAAGAAATCCTTAGGAAGGAATGAGGATTTGATGGGATGGAAGTGGTGAAGGAACCAGATCATAGGAAGGATAAAGATGGGGCTGGTCTCAGGCAGGCACAGGAATTCAAGTGCTTCCAAGATACATGCCTCTCCATCTTTTGTCTCTGGTTCTGGTTGTCACTTATCAGTCTCATTCTTTCCTGCAGTCTTCTCTTTCAGAGCTTCTACCTGGCGTGGAAGAGGTTCTGGGTTCTATCCCTTAGTGTAAAGGTGCAAGGGAGCACTGGGGAGGACTTTTATTGGTCATGCCTATGTTCTGTTCCCTTCTCTGAGACAATTTGCAGGTAGAAGTATTAAGTACTCTGATAAGCTTTGGGTCATGTGCCTATCCCTGGGCACAATAAAGGAGGCTGTCACCTCATTAATCCTCATAGAGTGATGAATAAAAACTACACTTACACATTGGTTAACTGAGCACTTACCCACTAAAACCTTCAAGATGCATCTAAAACATGTTCACTTGCACAATTGTACTGTATCACACTAGGCTGAGCCATCATCTTCTTATATTTGTAACCTTCTTTTTACTACCCTACCTGTCCCCGTTAGTCCCCTTGTAAACATTTCGTGCAACAGCCAATAATTCCCAAAAATGAATCCATCACATCATTCCCTTTCTGTGCTCAGCATCTCATTGTCAAGGGAGGTACTACTATCTTCTAAGGAATATACACCTAGCCCAAATATATATATATATATATATAGCCTTTTTAAGACTAGAGGGAGGGTTTTTATCAAGCAGCAGGTAAATAGAAGACAAAGACAACTGGTGATTGTGAGTTCTTTAGGCCTAGTGAAACAGTGAGCTACTCTCATCAGAGTTGGCTGCCTAAGATGCTGGCGAGACCTGAGGATGAGTACTGGGAAGTTCTGGCACTTGCACTTCTGAATGCAGGTGTGACACTGCCTCAGTATATCTCTGTGTCCATGATCAGATGACATCTTTGTACTTGGATCCAGAACTCATTTTTATGATGGCAAGCTTTAGTATGGTTTACAATTCCTTGGATTGTGTAAAGAGAAATGAACCACAACACAGGCTTGTAAGATACAGCCTCTTATAGGAAGACCTCAAGAAAACAACAAAAGGTGGGCTATAGGGGTAGGAAGAATAGTAGAATGAACTGGACATTATGACCCTATGTACATTTATGACTAAATGACCAGTGTGATTCTACGTCATGTACAACCAGAAGAATGAGAAGTTATACTCCATTTATGTATGACTTGTCAAAGTGCATTCTACTGTCATGTTATCTAATTAGAACAAATAAAGAAAACAATGAAAGGAATACAAGAACAGAATGAAGAAATTCAGGGGACTGCAAACTGCAAAGGGCAATGTTGATGCTGTCAAAAAAGCAGGAGTAAAGGTTCTATAGTGGGGACTGGGGATGTGGCTCAAGTGGTAGCCCGCTCGCCTGGCATGCGTGCGGCCTGGGTTCAATCCTCAGCACCACATCCAACAAAAATGTTGTGTCCGCCGAGAACTTAAAAATAAATATTAAAAATTCTCTCTCTCTCTCTCTCTGCCCGCTCTCACTCTCTCAAAAAAAAAAAAAATAAAAAAAGATTCTATAGTGACATTATCTGAGGAGATTGTGTGAAATTTTCACAAAAGGATTAGTAAACCATAAAAAATATTTTTTTGAAAAAAGGAACATTCTTATCCATTATCAGCTAAGGAGTGTTAGTGAGATGTTTTTAATAAATACCAATGTCTCAGGGTCTTGGTTATATTTTCCAATGTCTGCTGTACCATTGCACTTGAAAGAAATCTCTGTTTCCTAACAGGAACTTCGGGGCCCCTCCCTGCATGAGGTAGCCTCTGCCTGTTTCTTCAGTTTGTGGTTCTAAATCCTCCCCCTCCCCCTTGATCTTTTTTTTTTTTTTGCCCAACTGTCTCCTGCCCACCTCATCCCCAGTTCCTTGAATATGTCAATCTTTTTTTTTTTTCCCCCTGAGATTTAGCACAACTCTAGAGGTCTTGCTTAACTCCTTATCTAAACTAGTGCCTGTCCAATCATCACAACCCTACCCTTTATATCCTAAAAAGTACCTAGGGAGGGGTTTGGACGTGTATGTGTAGCTCAGTGACAGAACATGCTTATCATGCACAAGGCTCTGAATTTGATCTCCGCACCAACAAAGCAAAATAAGTGCTTATCAGAATTTGTGATATTCTCGTTTGAATTTTACCTTGGGACAAAATCACACATCATCGTCCAGTGGGAGAGACAGAAAACACAGGAATGCCAAAAGTAGGGGAAAGCCCATGGGCCCCTGAATCGCTGTCCACAATGAGTTGCTCTGGGCAGTTCATCAGCTAGGTCTGTCAACCCAGGACAATAGAACCAATTATTCATACTCTGCTGAGAATTTGGTCAGGTGGGTACGATTCAATCCCTAGGATCCAAGCAGGATATACTATTTCCATTCCAAGGGTCTCGGGGAACCCCGAGTCTGGTCCTTAGTTGGTGAGTTTGCTAAGCAATAATTATAAACGGGACAATTATGGGCGGAAAGAGAGCTGCACTCCTTCAGGGCTCCGGTATTTCGGAACCTTAATCTTGAAGACCTGCCCCTTCAACTTTCTGAAAGGGCGGGGCAACGAGAGCAGCTGTCACCTCCTTCCCTACACCCGGCTGGCTCTCGTGTGTGTTCAGATGTTCAATAACAGCTCTTCTTCCGGGACTTCCTGGTCACCACAACCAATCAAAGTGTTCTTCCTGTCCAACCATTGTCAGTTTGGGGCCAATCGGCGCGGCTCCACCAACGCCCCTTAAAGGCGCCGCGGCTGCCTCCTAAGCCCCGGCGGACCAATTCCTCCGTTCCGGCCCCCACCCGCAGTATGGAGTCGTCTCGGGGGCGGCCCGGGTCGGAGGCTGACCTTCTAGCTCCAGCGGAACAGCAGGCCGCAATTTTCTGCGGTGGGCCGGGTGGAACGCCCTCTAAACCACCCTCAGGCCTGAGGGTGTCTGGGGAGGAAGAGGCCAAGAACGTTGGGGGCGCGAGCCGCCAACCCAGGTCGTCCCCGAAGACTTCGAGCAGCAGCATAGTCCGCCGGCTGGAACCGGAGGCTTGGAAAAACGAGCCCGGCCCCCGAGCGACGCGGCCTGGGAGCCGGAGCCGCCGCGGGGAGCCAGGTTCCGAGTACGACCCGAACCTGTCCTCCCGACACAAGGATCCTAAGCCGTCGGAGGACAAGCCTGCATCCGAGAGGATCGACCGTCGAGGGAGCCCGGGAGGCGTCGAAATGAATGTGGAACAGCCGCAGCAGGAAGAGGAAGACATTGACGAGGAGGCGGCAGCGGCCGGCAGGGCTAGCCGCTCGTTCTCCAGCCGCCTTCAGGACAGCCGCAGTCTGGACGGGCTCAGTGGGGCGTGCGGAGGCGCGGGGTCCGCAGGGGGTGCGGAGTCCGGCGCGGGCAGCGGACGCCGTGCCACTATTTCCAGTCCCCTGGAGCTCGAGGGCACTGTGAGCCGCCACGGAGACCTCACTCACTTTGTCGCCAACAACCTGCAACTCAAGATCCGTCTGAGTGGCGTCGCTCCGCCCCTTCCCCCTGCTCCAGTGCGTCCCTGCCTAGCACCGGCACCCACTCCTACCATCCCGCCCATCGACCCTGACGTGCTGCGGGATCTGGAACGGCTGAGTCGCGATCTGGGCAGCCGGGTGGACCGCCTGCTTCGCGGGCTGGGTGGTGCGGTGCAGGAGCTGACAGCGCTGAGCGTGGGCTGCATTCAGACCTACCGCGATGCGGTGGACTCCTTAGGCGAAGCCGTGGACATGAGTATTAAGGGCATGTACACCCTGCTGGCGCGATGCGAGGAGCTGGAGAGGGCTCTGCAGCCGGTTCAGGGGCTGGCGCGCCAAGTCCGAGACATCCGACGCACTCTGGAGGTGTTGGAGGCCCTGTGCAAGTGACCTGGAGAGATGAGAGGCGGGGCCTAGTCCTGGCAGGGCCCAGCTGGATCCTAAGGACTCTTCCAGGAGCCTTGGTGGGAACTGCCCGCTGTGGGAAGACCTGGGTGTTGGAGGTTCTTCCAAATGCGTTTAGCTGGCCCGTGCCCTCTCGAAGGGTCTTAGGGAGGTGTATATGGGGGAAGTTCTCCTGGTGGGATGGGATGTTGCCTTGCTTCTATTCAGTTGGCCATCTGTAGCTACCCTGTTCTTTCCAACTCTCCTCCCTAGCTAGAAAACCAAGCCTGGGAACCCAGAGTCTTAGTCTCGGTTTCAGAGTGGGAACATGAATCCCATACAAGATCACAAAAAGGGAACAGAGGAGACCCAGCCCCATTGTGGCCATCCTGACTCTGGTGGCCACATCTCAGGTTTCAGGGGCTTTGGGAGCTTGAGTGGCCCCTGGCCACACACCATGCAGGCAAGAATGGATACCTGCAGATGTTTAACCAGCTGCTTCTGCCCTTTGGTTCCCTACAAAACCACTTCCCCAGCCAGAACTGGGGTGGTGTGAAGAGGAATACATTGCATGGTGGAGGGTGAAGTGGGAGGTGTCTCACTGCTCTCAGGGTTCAGGTCCAATTGTTGCTGGTATTGAAGTCCACCTGTTGTGGAATGTTCTGATCCGTTTTGGCTTTCTGAGTTTTTGTGGAATTAAAGTGCTGCTGCTGCTAAGGCTGAGGCTGCATCTCTGTGGGGTGGCAGGATTCCATTATCCAAAGGAATGGGAATATGAGGGTCATGGAGCTACCCTTGGAGTGAGGGCTGAGAGTGGGGTGTGGGTCCCAGATTGGATAGGAAAGGATATGGGGGTTCCTGCTGTAGGCAGCAGATCTGCGGGGAAATGTGAAACAGATAATCACACACAGGGGGCCAGAGAATGCAAGCAAGATTCTCTTGAAGAGGGGAAGCAAATTATCTTCTTAGGTCTTAATGGACAGGCAGGGGCTGGCTGCTGGACATCTTGCCTGTGGAGTAACATGGGGAATACTTGACAGCTCTATTCCTGACCATTTGCCATACTCTGCTGATGGTGTCCAAATGTAATTATTTGAGACAACTTTGTCCCAATTCTTGGCAGTCTTCTGTTTACAGAACACAAACTAAGGTCGCCGTACACATTATAGGGATGAAATTTAGGTATCACAGAAAGAACTCACTTTCTCTGTATGTTCAAATTATCCATAATGAACTAAACTAGAGTAGGTTTTGGGTATGAAATAGTCCCAGGTCGACGATATCGCTTTCCTGGTTTACCATTTCCCTCTTAGAAAATATTAAGCACAAAACTTCAACCGGCTGGCCCGTACGGGGATCGAACCCGCGACCTTGGCGTTATTAGCACCACGCTCTAACCAACTGAGCTAACCGGCCACCTGACAAACATGCTAGAAAGTGAAGTTACATGAGAGTTATTACTGGTCATTTGTTCTAGGAAACTTTCAGGATGCAAAAAAGTTGACCAGCTGAGCACTTAGGCAAGTTAATAGCCAAACTGCAATACTGACAAACACAGGTGATACGACTACTGAAGCACCAGCTTCAGGATCAGGCATAAATGTGATGGGCACGAGGAGGAGCCCCAAAATAGGATTTGCCTGGTAGCGCCTAGGAGATTCCGCGAAGGGGTTCAATGAATACGGAGAGTTGGTCCATAAGGGACCGTAACTCTTGCAAGGTCTGATATTTGTTTTAAAATACAAGAAACTATGGAGGCACCGCTGGGATTCGAACCCAGGATCTCCTGTTTACTAGACAGGCGCTTTAACCAACTAAGCCACGGCGCCGGCCGGAGGTATGTATAACCTTACTTTCCTGGCCAGGTCAGTTCTGTACCAGGTAAATATAAGGGTTTAATAGTGCAAGAAATAGTAGTACAGAAGTTTCTCTGGGAAGAGAAAGAATGCAGGGGTGGTGCTGAAACATTGAATCTAAACCAATGAAAGAAGGTAAGAGAAATTCTTACCTACAGATTACAAAATGAAACGCAGACCTTGATAATCGCGAACCGACGAGGATGGGATTCGAACCCACGCGTGCAGAGCACAATGGATTAGCAGTCCATCGCCTTAACCACTCGGCCACCTCGTCTGTATAGGAAGTCGCTGTCTTCTTCTCACTGGGAACTGAACTCTCCTGTTCTTACTCCTGCAGCTGGATTATGGTTGTGTTACAAAGTAAACACATTTACAGGAATCCTGCCCATCCCTACTAACAGATTTCACAAAGACCCAGCCATACCCTCAGGTACGCGAGTGCTCACCTCTCTTCCTTCTAGGCTGAGTAGTCAAGAGCTGAATCTGTCTCCGGGAGCCCTCCTGTCACAGAATTTTCTGGATCGACTGCAAAAAAAATCCCAGCGAAATCACAAGGGTCCTTGGACGGGTTGGCCACGGAATTTCTCATCAGAAGCCTTCCCCTTCCTGCTCCTTTAAGAGATGTTTCTTCTCAGAGTACTGTAATTGGATCAAAATTGAAAGTAGGACTAAACCAAAGCAACTTTAGAAAAGACACTGACCCCGACGTGATTTGAACACGCAACCTTCTGATCTGGAGTCAGACGCGCTACCGTTGCGCCACGAGGCCGGTCGGCCACAACGCTGGACAGGTCCCTTCATGACCATTGTTCAGCTGGGCAGCCGGCAAATGGAGATTGATACACCGGAGTCGAAATGTTTTTACTGTGTTTCTGAAAACGACTGGAACAAAAAGCTTCTTGAGCAGAACCTCGCCGGCAGCACCCAACAGAGCAATAGACTCGGCCTCAAGACCGAGTCCGAGGTGAAGATCTCCGAGCTCATCAAATGGGATATCAGAGCTCACAGTCCAACGGGGACCGAACTAAGAAGAACAAATTAAAGGAACGAGATGGAGCCATGCCAGAAAAGGTGGGCGATCAGCTCCTTCAGCAAGACTCAGATTCCCCATTAACAGTGTTTGGAGGCTTCCAAAATACCAAGCCCAGTCCACGGGTTCAGAGATTTTAATTTAACTCATCCAGAAAAGAACCATGGTATTTATTTACTTTTGCAAAAATTGGTGCTCAAAATGTTTGAGGCATAGTTTATAATGAGAAGATCTTAAGTGTATATTTTGATAAATTCACCCATGCAACTCGCAATCCTTTTAAAATTGAGGGCATTTCCATCAGTGCAGAAGGTTATCCCATAAACGTTTCTTCTCAGTGGATCCTCAACCCTCCTTCCCAGGGAACCACTGTTCCGGTTTCCATCACCATAAACATTTGTATTTTTTTAAAGCTCCCCAAGTGAGACAGGGCTGAGAACTTCTAAAGAGGGATATCCCAAACTGGAAGAGACCCCATTTGCTTCCTGAAGGAAGAGTTCAACAGGCCAAATGGGGAAGGAGGTCATGCTGTATCTCACCTCTGCCCTTCTGACCCTCATTCCTGCACAGCAGCTCTCTAAAAAATTATCAAGGCCACAGAGGTGTCAACGCCCATAGATGCTTCCCCAGCCTGGCCTTACCTGATTTCCAACAACTTCTCTAATAGAACACTTCTTTGATTGTCTTGGCACTGGGCTGTTGGTCTTGACCTCCCCAACCAGTCTCTCTTTTTCTGTTCTTAAGTCATTGTTTTTGTCAGGGTTTAGTCTTCTGTCCTCATGCTACAAATGTTCCCTGGCTTTTGCTGTCACCTCTATGTTCAGGGCTCTTGAATCCCACCCCCACCTCTGGATCCAAATGTCTAGTGCCTACTGGATACCTCCAGTTGATTGTGTCTTCTCGCCTTCTCAGTCCTTCTGCACTTCCTCTGAGTGGCCAATATGAGGCAGAAAAACTCATCTTTGACTCTTCCTTCTCCCACATATCCCATTTCTAGTCACCAAGTCCTGCCATTTCCTTAGTAATTCTCTTGTCAGTCCCCATTTCCCATTCCCATTGTCCCCTTGGCCAGTCTTGCTGGCTTATAGTTACACTCTCCTCTCTGACCACTTTGCCTCCAGAATAGTCAAAGATTATCATCTTTTTAAAATGCAAACATGGGGGTTGGGGTTGTAGCTCAGTGGTAAAGTGCTTGCCTAGCCCGTGTGTGGCACTGGATTCCAGCCTTAGCACCACATAAAAATAAATAAAATAAAGGCATTTTTGTCCCATCTACAACTTATAATTTTTTTTTTTTTAATGCAAACATGGTTCCGTCTCTCATTGGCTTAAAATCAGTCTCAGCTGGGGAGGTGGCACATGCTTGTAATCCCAACAATTTGGGAAGCTACAGCAGGGATGATTGCAAATTCAAAAACAGCCTGAGCAATTTAGGAACGCCCTAAGCAATTTAGTGAGACCCTATCTAAAAATAAAAAAGGGCTGTAATTGTGGCTCAGTGGTTAAGTCTTCCTGGGTTCAATCCCAGGTACAAAAAAAAAAAATTAAAATTAAAATAAAAAAATAAATCAGAGTATCATAACCTTTGGGATTAAGTCTTACTTTCTTGTGTGGACCCACAGGGTCAAGCAACAGAGTGCTACTGTTTGGGCTCTGGAACCTGGATGTCAGGGCTTATACACAGGCTTTACTACTTGTAGCTGTGTAGTTTGTGCTGCTTTTTTAGCCTCCCTGTGTCTATCTAGAAAGTGGTAAGATTCAAATATATTGCTACTAGTCTATTTGCTACTCAGTATTCAGATCCTGGCTGGTAATAATTCTTCAATTATTATTGTTAGGAGTAGTAGTAATATCTAATCTTTGCTTTTTCAGCCACACATCCCTCACCTTCCATATTACAACTATACTGAATCTTTATATATATATATATATTTAGTTGTCAATGGGCTTTCTTTTTTTCTTTTACGTGTGGAACCCCAGTGCATCACACATGCGAGGCAGGCGCTCTACCACTGAGGTACAGCCCCAGCCCAAGTAATTAACTTTTGTAGGTTGATCTTACATCCGCTGACTTTTATATTCATTTATTTATTCCAGGAGCTTTTTGATAGGTTCTTTTGAATTTTTCACATGGACAATAAAAGTAAACCATAAAAGTTAAAAGTGGAGCTGGAGTTGTAGCTCAGTGGTAGAGCACATGCCCAGCACATGTGAGACACTGGGCTCCATCCTAGCAACACATAAAAACAAATAAATTGGGCTGGAGTTGTGGCTCAGTGGTAATGCAGTCCTCTGGCATGTGTGAGGCCTTGGGTTTGATCCTCAGCACCACATAAAAATAAATAAATAAAATAAAGGTATTGTGGCCAACTATAACTAAAAAATAAAATTAAAAAAAAAAGTAACACAGAACCATTGAATCCAATGATATAAAAAGGTTTGTGGGTTTACTATCAGAACAATTATTTAAAGCAGTTGTTTTGGTTGTTCATCCCTGTTAAAATAGACTTTAAGGATAAGACAAATCAAAAAATAACAACAGCTCTGTGACATACTCCTGTAATCCCAGTAACTGGGGAGGCTGAGGCAGAGGATCAAAATTCAAAGCCAGCCTCAGCAACAGTGAGGTTCTAAGCAATTCAGTGAGACCCTGTCTCTAAATAAAATACAAAATAGGGCTGGGATGTGGCTCAGTGGTTGAGTGTCCCTGAATTTAATCCCTAGTTAAAAAAAAAGAAAGAAAGAAAAGAAAGAATTATAAGTATGAACTCAAGATGTGTTTTTCTCTCTAAAAAAGGATTAAAAAAGTATTTCTTAATGTTGTTTTT